TCCAACACACAAACTGCGCAACGGTCGAACGATGCATCGGAAATTACACCGTTCGAGCGAAGCAGTGCAAAGCGGTACTGCGTAATGGTTCAAATGTCGGCGTAAAAATCCCGACTGCCCACGCAATGAAATACTCCTCCTCCTTCTCCACATCCGTCCTTCATCCTCCTCCTCATCAGCAGCAGCATCACCATCATCAACAACATCAACATCACCATTCATCAACATAATCATCATCATCATCACATCATCATCAGCATCACCATCATCATCAACATCAACATCACCACTCATCATCGTCACCACTCATCATCGTCATCATCATCATCATCATCATCAGCATCATCCTCATCCTTATCATCCTCCTCCTCCTCATGGTTGTCATCACCCTCACTAACACCATCACCATTCCGACCCTGATCCTGCTCATGATCCCGTTCCTACTTATGTTCCTACGTATCCTCCTGCTCCACCTCCTCCTCCTCCTTCTTCTCCTTTCCTCCTCATCCTCCTCATCCTCCTCATCATCCTCATCCTCAGTCCCCCCCCTCCCTCCCTCCCTTCCTCCAAACCCCTCCTTGTCGTCCTCCGCACCAACATCGAAATCGCAGCCGAGCGGTACCGCGGAAGGGGAGGAGGCAGATCAAGTACAGCCTCCTAATGAACAGACAGGGAAGAGTAGGAATAGAAGAGCCTAACCCAAGTGGCGAGGAATACTGGCATCATCAGTCCCACTGGAAAGTGTGGCAGCGGCCTTGATAGCACAACAATGGCTCGAACAACGAACGCCGAACGTCGATCATCTATGAGGGCTCAGAGAGAGAGGTGACATCCCCGTTGAAGACACAAACCCTGACCCTGACGAAGACAACATGCGCTACAACAACGGACTCTCCGTGCCAAGGTAAGGGTTCAAGAATAATACCGCACCGCGAAACCAATGCGAAATGAGCCGTGAAGGGCACCACTGGGCTACTGTCACCGCTACTGATACCGACGCCGCCACCGCCGCTGCTGCTCGGGAGGAGGAGCCAGCGCGGACGATCACAGTCACGGGAGGAAGAGGAGATGGAGGTGGAGGAGGACGTGGACGGGGAGGAAGGGAGGAAAGAGGAGAGAGAGAGAGGGAAGGAGAACACGACGGGAAAACGGAGACCGAAGACCCGCATCCGACTGCCCGCAACGCCGATGTGACACCGCCGCTGCACGCTATGCCTCTCCCCATCTCGGCCACTTGTTACCGCGCCCGAGCAGAGACCGACGGAGGGCGGTCCAGGACAGGCCCGCCGCAACAGAACAGGCAGCTCGGTACGTCCCAGAAAGCGTCACGCCATCGCTGCATCCACCGCCTTCTGCAGGCTCGCCAAGCCCAGAGGCATCGGCCGCCGCACCGCTGGCGCCATAGGCGCTGCCGCGGGCGCCGCGCCATCCTCGGCGGCGGTAGCACCAGAAAGCCGGCCCCAGCAGCGTTCGCAGATGCCGTAGTCGCACCTCTTCATCGTGGCGCAGCCATAGATCCGGTCGGCCCTGGTCAGCGCGCCGCCGCCCTCGTGGCTCGCGCAGTCGCACGTCCAGCTCTTGAACGGCGTCCTCGGCACGAGCCTGAGCGCCTTCCGGCAGGTGCCGCAGACCGGCCTTCCGCTCCCCGCCGCCTGCGGCTGCCCGCTGCTACCTGCCGCGGGCGCGGGCGAGGAGCCCCCTCCGTCGGCGACCGCGGCGCCCTCGAGCCGGGGCCTCTTGCAGGGGGGCTCCAAGGGCACCGGCGCGCCCGCCGAGCCTTCGGCGGCCTGGGCGGCGTCCTCGGCACTGTTCTCGGCAACAGCCGCGGCAACGACCTGTTCACTTCCAGCGCCCTCTGCATGCTGCCCCGGCCTGGCCGCAGGGGCGTAGCCCCTGCGGGTCATCTTCTGGACCTGCTTGTCGTGGAACTGCCTCGCCGCCTTCTGGCTGTCGTGCACAGCCCTCTTGGGCTTCAGGTCCCTGGCGCCCACTCGCCCCGTCCTCACAGTGGTCTCGACACCCACTGTAACGATGCCCCAATATCTGGACTTGCAGGTCAGGTACGCCTCGAGCCTCTCGCCCTCCGCCCCAGTCATCTGCGGGCTCCCGCGCCCGCGGCCGCGCTCGGCGAGCCTGCGGCCAATGTTGGGGCGCCGCTGTGTGGGCAGCGGGCTGGCACCCCGGCCGGCATGGGCGCCGGCGCCGGCAAGCCCGAGCGCTGGCGCAGGCGCGGGCTGAATGAGCGTACAATGACGAGCACGGCGAAAGCAAGACTCCCAAAGTAGAGGCGTAGAAAATCCGCCAACCCCGTCGGCGAGTGCGATACGGCTTTCCATGTGAGTCGTCGTCGCCGTCGTCGCTCCCCCCTTTTCCCCTGGGCCCGCCTCGTCCGGCGATCCGGCCAGACGGCAATCAGACGACGTCGACATGGATTCGAAGGGAAGCCTCTGCCCTTTGTAGGGGGTCACATGCGAACCCCACCCTCCCCCTCAGAAATCATGGGGGGTAGGGGTACTCCAGATTTCGTAATAAAGGGAGGGGGGTCTCATTTCGCTGGGGGTCTCTTCCAGGCTATCTTGGAGGGCCTGGGGGGGTCTGGGGACGATGTTTTGGAGGGTTCTCCCACGGGGGGGGGTCTGAAATGGCTTGTCTTGGAGGGTCCAGACCCCCTCCCTTTTATTACGAAATCTGGGGTAGGGTTCGCATGTGGCCCCCTACTTTGATCCCTTCCCTGGCGGGGGAGGCGGGCAGCGGGAGGAGGTTCCCTGGCGGCTGGGGGGAGGGTCCCGGGGGAGGGTCTCGGGGGGGGGGGGGGGCCCAGGAGTCGTGACCTCCCCCCCCCGGGGGGCCCCCACCTGTGGACAAAGAAAAGGTGGTCAGCCCGTGTGGGCAGGCGGGGCTCGGGACTCCTCTCGCCGCCTCCCCCTGTACAGGGCAGTTTTATACGTAGGATGTTTTAAAATATCGGATTGTTTAATACATGATTAATGTATGCATAAATGTATGCATGAACTCATCGTTGGTTTTAATACTAAACCCCTGCATCTTTAATACATGATCCGCACGCAGAGCATGTATTAAAAACGGCACTGTGGACAAGGGGATCACCATTTCCCCTCTCCTCCCGTACCCGCCCCCCCCCCCGCGGAGGCACCCTCCTGAGTCTTATCTGCTTTTGCCAGGTCCTGAATGTCTCCTGCATGTCTCCAAGAAGCCTCAGCTCTGCTCCGAGGCAGATCCGAGCGGCCACGGGGTTCCCAACAAGTTCCCAAGAGGCACCCCAGCAGAGCCCAAATAGGCTCGCAAGAAGGCCGCAAGAAGGGCTCCGAAGCGTCAGCGTCGTCGTTTCTCGACGCCGCCGCCCTCGTCGTCGTCGCCCTTCAGGGTCGTCGGCACCAGCCGCAGAGCCTTCGCAAGAAAAACGAAGGCAGGAGGGAAGGTTAACGTGACGGCTGAATGAGTGAGAAGGGAAGCGTAGGGTTAGGTCGGGCCTGTCCCCCTACAGGGGGATTTTGGGCGACAAATAAAACATACTCAAAAAATACCCCCCAAATACTCAAAAATAGTCAAAAAATCGTCCCCAGACTATTTGTCAAACAAGTTTTGAATATTCCTCCTCCTGTAAAGGGACGGGCCCGACTTAAGCTTAGGGATTTATGAGCGCTCTGATTCCACAGAAGGGCAAGGCAGGACAACGCAATGCGAACAACTCAAATGCAAGGCAACGTCAAGCAAAACAGTGCAACGCCGCCGTGACCAGCAATGCAGCAAAGGCAAACACCAAATGCGAACCACGGTGAAGCATCTGAAAGCAAACGACGCAATGCAATCCATTGTAACGCAGGGAAAAACAATTCACCCAAAAGCAAAGTAAAGCCATGCACAGCAATGATGGGGAACGCAACACAATATAGGGCGGCACAGCGGAAAGCATTGCAACTCACAACTCCAACAGCCATCTGAATGCAGGTGGACTAGAAGGTGCGTGCTTACCACATGAGTATTCCACCTCAGAGAAAGATATACCACTGCATCACTGCTCCGTGACTTTTACCCACCACGCAATCGGCCCTCGCCAATGAGGAACCATGAGAGCACCCTCACACCATCCCTGACAAAAAATACGAAGCGCACATGGCGGCAAAATATGTTGCGACTTTAGGGGTCTGGGGACTGCCCTGGAGAATCAGTGTGGGAGGGAAACTGCGTCTTGCCCACTGCGAGTGCACGTCGGACGTTGCAGGGAGGGGAGACTGGAGACAGAGAGAAAGAGAGAGAGCGAGCAAGAGAAAACAAAAAGATAAACAGAGGGGGCGAACCAAATCAACATCGGATAAAAAAACGCCCGAGGAACCCCCGGCGACCCCCCAGACCCCGAGGAATCAGGAGAGACCCTCACGGGCCCTCTTGTCCAAAGTAAACAACCGCACCAAACAATTATTGACCCCCACTCTCGTTCATCCTTCGCACCACAAACAAGCCGCCACCGTGCCGCTGGGCACGGGGTGGGTATGTGCTCAGGGGCTTTGCCTGATCCCTTAAGCACTCCTGAGGAGTCTTCAAGGGGCCCGGACCCCAAACTATCAAATATTCGACGTGGAAGCTCCAGGAGGCCCGCCAGATGCCTGGAAAACATTCAAAATACGTGCAGAAAAGCTCCCTGTGAGCGGCGACGCCCGACAGATCGGATCTCGCTTCACCTCCCAAGTGCAACCCTGCTTCAGGTGGTGTGCGGCATCACTCGGCGGCGAGCCCAGGGGAGAACTGAGAGGGGACAGGCCTTCTCAGAGGCGGCGGGGCTTTCTCAGACGCCCTCGCGCCGTCTGAGAAACCGTCTGTGGCTTCGCAGAAGGCTTACAAGGCTTCTCAAAGGCCGGAGGGCTTCTGAGAAGCCCCGCCGCCTTCTGAGAAGGCCTGGCCTCTCACTTCCCCTGGGCTCGCCGCCGAATCACTGACCAGTTGAGTCCACCACGGCGAGCGCTCCCTTTTGCGCGGGGCGCTCACTCGGCGTGGAATGTCTCGCCCAGGTCGCACGCAGGCGCCTCTCGACCTACTTGTCCAGCGAGCACGGGGCCACCACCTGCCCTCGCCGAGAAGAAGGGAAGGACGGAAGGAAGAGGAGGAGGGGAAGAGAGGGAAGAATAGCAGACTGGCTCTCCAGCCTGCTCGTCTGCTCACAGAGGGTCACCTGGAAGACCGACCGCAGCCCAATGCCCAAAGCTATCCCAGGGCTTGCGTGCTTGCGTGCTGCCGCTCCTGAAAGCTTCGCCAAAACAACATGTACGATAGCACGACACGAAACGGCACAACACCACACAAGACTGCGCGACGTTCACGACACGGCACATACGGAACCAGAACACGAATTGGGCCCACGACACGGCACGACACGACACGGTATGCGCGCGACCGAACACGCGATGCACCATAGGCTGCGCTACAGGTTTCTTCATGCATTTCGCCAGTGGTTACATGCACCACCCTGGATCATCGATCAGATTTGTCCGCTCAGCCACCCTTCTCAACCTCAAAACAGACCTTACAACTCTCGCTGCTTGGGGATAAGACACGCTCCCTACGGGTGAAGATGAGGGGGAGGGGGGAAGAGCAAGCTAGGTGCGCTCGCGTCAAATCTGGCGTCCTAATTACCCCTCCCTCCCATCCCTTACCATGGCGTAGATCTCCTCTCTATTCACACAGTCGCATGTCGAGCGGGGCAATGATCCCGAGAGGGTGCGCGATGCATCGTAGATCACGGCATAGCAGGGCGTAGAAGAGCACGGCAGAGCGTAGTATGTCACAGCATGGCGTGGCGTGGCGTTGCGTAGTCAAGAATTGTATCACAAAGCATTGCAACGGAAGGAAAGGCATCACACAGCGGCATAGAACAACACATGGCATAGCATGGCGTTGAAGATCAACACGTAGCATGGCGTATATATATACACACACGTACATCCATTTGTATAGCGTGGCGTGGTACTGCGTAGTCAAGCACTGCATATGCTAGCATTGCAGCTGAAGGCATGGCATCGCACAGCGGAACACCACATAGCATTGCATTGCATGCCGTGGCATGGCACTGGAAATTCGCAGGCTCAACGGGCCAGCGGCGTGCTAAGATCTCTGGTATCTGGTCCACAATATTTCTAGTTTGCGCGCGCGGGGCGGCTCCTGGGGGTCCCAGGACGAAAAATACCCTGGCAAAGTTCCGGCAAACTCCCGGCAAACTCTGCTAAAGGATGCCGGAACTCCCCGGGGCAGTTTTCCGCACCCTCAGAGCGCTCCAAGAGGGCCTCAAGAGGCTCCAAGCTGGTCCAAGAGGGCTCCGAGACGCCGACCAATCGGTCCACGACGCCCAAGATCGCCTCCACGCGGCACCAGACGCCTCGAAGACGCTTACAGACGCCTCCAAGAAGCGTCTCCACAGGGCCCCAGGACACAAAAATCATTGAATTCCTGAGGGGTTCTGAAAGATTTTGGATTCTCACCTGCTTGGCTTCCCGACGCTCCAGGACAGCCCAGGCGGCCCTCAACGTCGCCCCCAGACGGCCCAAGAGGGCTTCAAGGAGGTCCCAAGACGGCCCAAGATGGCCCCAAGACGGCCCAACAGGCCTCCAAGACAGCCCAAGATGGCCCCCGGGACTGCCCCAAGAGGGAACCCAGACGGGGAACCCGAACGGACATTTCGAGCCCAGCCTCCAAAATCGATCCAACAAAGCCCAAGAGACCTCCAAGAGGGCTTCAAAGCAGCCAAAGAGGGCAGCAAGACCGTCCCAAAGGGCCCAAGAGCCCTCCCAAACCGCCTTGGAAAGCCTCCCGAGAGTTTCCCAAGAGCTCCCAAGAAGCTACCCAGAGCTCTGGGCATTTCGAGCCACACTCTCCTAGGAGATCACCAAAGGCCCCCAAGAGCTCCCAAAGAGGCACCCAAGGGGATCCACGGAGCCTCCAGGAAACTCCAAGAGACTCCCAAGCGGCTCCCAAGGCCTCCCAAGAAAGACTCCAGGGGTTCCCAAGAGGGTCAAAACTACTCCCCCCCAGAAGCTCCCGCGTACTCCCAGAAGAGACAGCAAGAAGCATCCATGAGCCCCTCCGAAATGCAGAGGCCCCCAAGAGGCCCCCGTGACGCCCCAGGAGGTCCCAGGAATACCGCCAAGGTGCCACCGAGAGCCCTCCTCCGAGACCCCACAAACGCCTCAAGAAGCCATCGAGAGGCCTCCTCCTCATCCTCCCTTCTTCCTCCTCCTCCTCCTCCTCCTCCTCCTCCTCCTCCTCCTCCTCCTCCTCCTCCTCCTCCTCCTGCTCCTGCTCGTCTTCCTGATGAGCCTACTCCTCCTGCTCCTGGTCGCCCACAACGAGCACGCCAACGTATAGCAACAGTGATAAAATATGGGCCGGCGGAGTGAGCGAAGCGATTCAATTCGCCGGCCCAACGGGCCAGAGGCGTGCTAAGATCTCCGGTAACTGGTTAACAATTCTCTAGTTCGCGCGCGCGGGGCGGCCCCTGGGGGTCTCCGGACGAAAAGTACCCCGGGCGATCCCCGACCGACCCCCGAGCGATCCCCGGGAGACTCCCCCAGAGCGCTCCAGGAGCGCTCCATGAGCGCACCAACAGGGCTCCGAGACGTCCCCGAGAGCCCCAAGAAAGGCCAAGAGGCCCCCAAGAGGCCCCAAGATGGTACACGAGGGGTCCGACATGCCACAAGATCGCTCCAAGACGCCCAAGATAGCCCCCAGACGCCCCAAGAGGCCTCCAAGAGCACTCCCAAGAGGGCCCCCGGAGGCAAAATTCATTGTTTTTCCTTAGGTTTTTGAGAGATTTTGGAGCTTCCACCTTTTCGGCTTCCCGACGCCCCAAGACGGCCCAAGAGGCCCCCAAGATCGCCCCAAGAGGGCCCAAGAGGCCCCCAAGAGGGCCCCAAGATGGCCCAAGAGGGCTCGAAGACGGCCCAAGAAGCCTCCAAGACGGTCCAAGAGGGCCCCAAGAACGCCCCCAAAGGGGCCCCAGAGAGGGAACACGAAACAACATTTCGAGCCCTCGGCCCTAAGAAGCCCCTACGAGGCCCCAAGAGGCCCCTAAGAGGCCCCAAGAGGCCCCCACGAGGCCCTCAGGAGGCCCCCAAGAGTCCCCCAAGCGGCCCCAGGAGGCCCCCCTAAATGCCCCCCCGAGCGCCCCAGGAGTCCCCCAAGCGGCCCCAGGAACCCCCAAAGCGCCGCATTGACACCAGGCCCTCGGGCAAACGGCAGACATGAGACTGTATGGGCCGGCGGAATGAGCGAAGCGATTAAATAAGAACGCCAGCGCTGCAGCGAGAGCACGATTCGGAACGAGCGGGAGCGCGGAAATGAGGCCAACGCTGCAGCGGGAGCACGATTCGGAAAGAGCGGAAACGCGGAAATAAGGCCAGCGCTGTAGCGGGAGCACGAAAATCAGGCCAGAACTTCAGCGGGAGCAGCATTTTGGTACAGAAACCAAGCGAAAACCCAATTCCTGGGAATCGTGCGTAAAAAAACGATACGCGGAGGGGGGGGCGATTCTGGACGTCATCAGGGGACAAGAGAATCATGTTCATATTGCGTAATTGTTAAGGGGATGGGGGGTGGGGAGAGGGCAGGAGGGGCAGCCCGTGGTCCTCCTCCTCCTCGCCCCTGTAGTGCCGCAGCGATGGACGAACGCCGGCAATACACCGCCACTCGACGACGACCGGCGAAAACGGCACTCAGGGCCAGATGCGCAACGCCCCTCAAAAGGCCAAGGAGGAGGAGAGAAAAGAGCACGAAGCAGAGCCGAGCCGAGCCGAGCTGAGACGCTCCTGGGGACGACGGCTGAAGCAAAAAATGTAACTTTTGGGCGTCGGCGGCTAGGCAGGGCAACTGCGCTGGCGGAGGGCCACCTAAACGGGGGTTACCCTTCCCTGACCTTCCAGAGTGCTTAAAAAATACCCCTCCAGACCTGTAGACCTATCTGGGCTGCCGAAAACCTCGACAGGAATTAAGATATCGAGGTCCTGGTGCTACTTTTTAGCCCTCCTGCGGGAGGGAGGGGGAAGGCAGAGGCAGCGGCCGGAAGAGGGGGCGGAAGCAGCGAGCTGCTCCGGCGGACGGGTCACGCCCGGGGCGCGTGGCGCGGCCGGCCCCGCTAGCGGGCCAGCGGCGGCTGCTGCACCAGGTAGGGGAGCAAAAAAATAACATAAACATAAAAACTCGGAGTTACGCGCGGAGTTCTCGGATCGGCGCTGGACCCCCCTCCCTGGCGCGCGGAGCGCGCCAGGGGCGGCGCCGGAGGCGCCGCCGGGGGGGGCCCCAGCGCCGATCCGAGAAATCCGCGCGGACCTCCGAGTTTTTATGCTTGTGTCACTTCTTGTTCCCCTAACCAGGGGGCCGGTGGCGGCGGGGCGCACTGCGGGGGCAGGTGCCACCCCAGGGGGCAAAAGGTGCGAAGCGGTCAGCGTCGAAGCCTGGCGGCCCCCCTCCCCAGAGCGGGAGCTGGCGCGGCTGCCAGCAAAAAGCGGGGGCGCCGGCGGCGGGCGGCAGGTCCAAGCCCGGGGTGGCCGGCGCGGGCGGCGGCGGCGAGCAGCTGGGCAGCGCCATGGCGGCGCGCGGAAGGAGGGAGAGCGGACGGGGGGGAAGAAAGCGAACAGAGGGAGGAGGACGCCCCGCCTGTGGGGACCACGGGCGGGGCGGTAGGGCGGCAGCGCCAGCGAAGTACACCGCCCAGCGCAGGGGGCGGCGAGAGTGAAGGGGCCCTGGGACACACAAGTAAATACACACAAATAAAAGGATTCCCCATATTTTCCTATGTTTTCTGTGTTTTTGTCTTCCCCCCCACTTCCCATATTTTCCTATATTTTCTGGGGAATCGACGATTCATTGTGTCTGTGTGTGTTTTTTCCCCTCCTGAGAGAGGGCGGGGCCCTGCCGGCGCCAAGCGTGGGTAGCGAGCGGGTTCCCGAAGCCGCCGAAGCTCGCGAGCGAGGCAGGGGCGCCGGTCGGCAGCAGCGCCAAGGGGCGCCGCCCTGCGGGGGCCCGGGGGATGTCTAGGGGGCAGCGAGGCCCAGCGATGGCTCGGGCGGCCGGGGGGGGGGGGCAAGCAGAGCCAGAGGTGGGGCCCAGCAGGGACCAGAGGAGGGAGGAGGAGGAGGCGGAGGGAGGAGGAGGAGGAGGAGGGGAGGAGGAGGAGGAGGAGGAGGAGGAGGAGGAGGAGGAGGAGGAGGAGGGGGAAGAGGAACGAGGGGAGGAGGAGGAGGAGGGAGGAGGAGAGGAGGAGGAGGAAGAGGAAGAGGGAGGAAGAGAAGAAGAAGAGAGGACGAGATGAGAGGAGGAGGATGAGGAGGGAGGAGGATGAGAGAGGAGGAGGAGGAGGAGGAGGAGAAGGCGGAGGTGGCACCAAACAGGTGCGGGCGAGCGAGAAAAGCGGCAGGGCCCCCTGCCGGGGTGGACAGGGGGGGCCCGCTGGGGGGAGGGGCGGGGCAGCCGCCGCCAGAGAGGGCGGCAGGGAGCCCCCCACGAACAGAACTGCGGTACACACCGAACTGGTGCGAGTCGGCAGAAGAAGGCAAGAATCGAAACACGAATCAGGAATACTACAACAAAAAAAGAAGCAGAATGAGAAGCTACAGAAGAAAAAGAATAAGAAGAAGAAGAAGAAAACGAAGAACATCTGGAAGATCGGGTGCTAAGGAAGCAGAGTGAAGAGGGGTAGGCCGCGACAGCCTCCTTGATCAGGCACTGGAGAACAGATGCTCCACGAGAAGCACCTCCTCCTCCTCCTCCTCCTCCTCCTCCCCCTCCTCCTCCTCCTCCTCCTCCGCCTCCTCCTCCACTCTTCCTTCCTACTCCTCCTCCCCCTCCCCCCTCCTCCTCCCTCATCCGCCTCCCCCGTCTCCCACCTCCTCCCTCCGTCTCCACGCGCCCCCCCCCCCTGGCGCCTAGGAGCGCTGTGTACACGCCCCGAGCGCGCAGGCGCGACGACTCGTGCTCGCGCCGCAGCGCCGCCAGCTCCCGGAGGGCCTCGTCGAGGTTCAGCCGCAGCTCCTGCTGTGGGGAGGGGCGGGGGCACAGGATTTGTTTGATCTGCGGGGCGAGAGCGAACCTCTTCCGCTTAAAAGCTAAAAGCTAGGCGGGCTACGCACAGCTTGAATTAGGGAGACAGGGCACAGGCGAGGGGCGGGGGCACAGGCACGGGAGGAGAACATCGCCTTCCGTGAGCAGCGGCACTGAGCATGACTTGACATGACCCTGGTCACAATAGACTTCCTGCCGAAAGCGCTGGCAGCGCGAGGCGCGCCGGGCGCGAGTCGGCACCAGAGTGAGCACCCTGGCAGCAACACTGACGGCGTGATGTGCGTTGGCCCGAAGCCGGCCCAGTCGGAGTGAGATTCCTGACAAAAAACGCTGGCAATGCGGTGTGCACCACATGCGAGCCGAAACGCTCGCAATGAGTTTCCTGGCAGCAACGCTGGCGACACAATATGCGCCAAATGCGAGCTGGCACTCTCGCACTAGCAGCAACACCGGCAGCAACGATGGCCAAACGATGTGCGCTGGAAGCGAGCCAGCCAGCTCGGAATGATCTCATCAGTCGAATCGCTGGCAGTGCGAAGTGCGCCGGGAGCGAGACGGCACGCTCGCAGTGAGCTTCCTGCTGACGTCGCTGGCAGCATGATGTGCGCCAGAAGCGAGCCCAAAAGCTCGCAGTGGGCTGTCTGACAGCAGCGTTGGCAACAACGCTGGCAACTCGATTCGCGCTGGACGCGAGTCGGAACGCCCGGAGTGAGCTCCGCGGCAGCAACACTGGCAGCGACACTGGCAACGCGATATGCAGCGGACGCGAGCTGGCACTCGGGAATAGCTTCCAGCGGACGGCGCTGACAGCGCAGCGTGCGCCAGAAGCGAGCCGGCACGCTTGGAGTGAGCGCGATGCCAACGACGCTGCCAGTGCGATGTGCGCCTAAAGCGAGCCTGCACGCTTCGAGTGAGTTTCCTGACGCCAACGCCTGCCACAACGCTGTCACCACGGTGCGCGCCGAACGTGAGTCGGCAGCAACTGAAGGGGCCCTGAGACACGCAAATAAATACACACAAATAAAAGGATTCCCCATATTTTTCCATGTTTCCTGGATTTTTGTCTTCCCCCCCACTTCCCATATTTTCCTATATTTTCTGGGGAATCGACGATTCATTGTGTCTGTGTTTTTTTCCCTCCTGAGGAACACCAGCCCAAAGCAATTGCAGTAGGAAGCTACTGAAAGCAGAGTGAGGGAGCGGTCATTCACTGCCCCTGCCTGCGTCGGGGATCTTCTGGCCCGGGTCAATCCAGACCTTGGTCAGCCAGCCCTCGCAGAATCCTGCAAGATCCTGCACCCAAACCTGGGTCAACGCGAAGGATCCTGCAGGATCCTGGTGCGACCCTGGCCCTGCAGGATCCTGCAAGATCGGGCGCTCTGGCTGACCCCCGTTTGCGTTGACCCCCGTCTCAGGGCTCCCGATTGCGTGGCTGAAGTAGGGATCCGCGGTGCGCATCGTTGCTGCATTGCGTTATTCAATGGTCCATTTCTAAAGAATAATTGCTATCGATCCCTCCCTTTCGGTGGGCCCGCACCCTATTTTTTTTCCTGAGGGAAAATATGCGGTCGTTCCCGCCTGATGCTTCCTGACAATGTCTTGTCAAGTCGCGCTCTCGCGCAGGACTTCCTGACAATGTATGCAGGAATCGTGCTATCGCGTGAGACTTCCTCGCAACTTATTCAAACGCCGCGCCCTCGACGCTCAGGAATCGCGCTCTCGTCTGGCTGTTCTGACAATTTACTTGGGAATCGTGCTATCGCTCGAGACCTCCCCGCGATTCATGCAGGACTCACGCTTCAGAAACCCGCCTGCTCGACCTGTCCACCTGGACCCGCCTTCCAGACCCGCCCGCTAGGGTTTAGCCGCCCGATCAGCCCGTCTGGTTCTGCCACACGTTTTCTCCTCCGAACACCCCTCCTGCAATGTGTGTCACGTGTTCCATCTGTCTCTCTCCCCTTTCCATTCGTCTTTTCCCTCCCTGTTTTAGGGGCTGCACCAAGTACACGCGGCAGGTAAGGAAGATATACCCACAGGGGGCGTACGATCGAAGACGAAGACGGAAGGTATCGAGAGTTTGGGATAGACGAGTTGAACGGCACACCATCAGCTGAGAGCGAACAGTCTTAAAATGAGTGTTTGCTGTTGTTGCGGATGCTGTTGTTATTAAGCTCTCATTATCTGGTGCACACTGCGCTTTCAGTTAAAGCGCCGCCTGCTAGACCTGGCCGCTTGGGCCCTCCTTCACGATCCGCCCGCTAGGGTCTAGCCGCCCGATCAGCCCGTCTGGTTCTGCCACGTGTTTGTTGCTCCTAACACCCTCGTGCTAATCCCGTGCTCCATCCTTCTCAATGGCCCTTCCATCCGTCCTCTCTTTCCCTGTTTGAGGGGCTGCACCAATTACACGCGGCAAGTAAGGAAGATATACCCACAAGGGGCGTACGATCGAAGACGAAGACGGCGGGTATCGAGGGTTTTTGATAGACACGTTGAATGGTACGCGAACAGGTATGAGCGAACAGTCTCAAAATGAAGGTTGTTGATCTTGTTGTTGTCGTCGTCCCACTCGCGACCCGGCCCGCGACTGGCCCGCGACCCACCCGCGAGCCGCCCGCGACCCACCACTCGCGACACACCCACGACCCACCCGCGACCCACCTTCGACCCACCCGCGACCCACCCGGCGAGCCACCCGCGACCCACCCGCGACCCACCCGGCGAGCCACCCGCGACCCACCCGCGACCCACCCCGCGACCCACCCACGACCCACCCACGACCCACCCCGCGACCCGCACGCGACCCACCCGCGACCCACCCCGCGCCCGCCTCCTCTCTCGTATCCGCCGCAACTGGGTGGTGCCGCGTACACAGCTCGAGCTCTCCAGGCAAGCCTAGTATTAGACAGACCGACCCACCCAGCCAGGAATATTCGCGGCACTCAGAGACAAAGCATGTCGAACTGCATGACCAACACTCCGTACAAACATTGCATGAGGAACTAGAAAGCGACGGCAACTGCTTCTACTGAATTTGATTATTCCGCGGCCGCTTCCCACAACATCCTCATGCGATCCTCCTCCATCCTGGCCCCTCGTCGTCATCATCCGTTTTTTTTCGGCCTCGCATCCCTCCATCCATTCACCATCTGTCCCGGTGGGTCAGACAGGAAACGGGCGGATTATGGCAGAACGGCGCGCGCGTCAAGACGCGCCCAGAGCAACGCGCAAGACGGACGCGCAAAGTAGGGACTTGCGTTGTCTCGAGAATTGCCAGCATTAACATCACCCGCGTAATTATGTTGGTGTTCTGGGAAAGATAAACATCAGGTCGGGCCCCGTGCCTCCCTCCATCATCAAGAATCGAATTCTCCGTACATTTATAACATCTCACCATGAGGCCTAGACCTGCACCCCCTGCCTCCTGACACGCTCGTAAGCAGACACCCATCCAGTCCCAACACCAAATTGGACACCACGTCGAACCGTGGGCAGGCTCACCGTGGGCCCCCCCATCAGCGCGCGCCCTCCCGGCTCGGCCGGGAGGGCACGCGCGCCACTCCTGGACCTCAGACGGGCCTGGCCACGACTCGGTGCGGTGTACACCTGGCGCCTCAGCAGACGGGGGCGAGCTGGCGGCGGAGCCGTCCGCGTTCTCGCGCAGCAGCCGGCGGCTCTCTGTCCGCAGCGCCCGGACCACGCCTCTGGCGGGCGGGCGTTCTCGAGGCCGGGGGATTGTGGAGTCGCTGTGGGTTCCAGACGAGTTTTTACGCTGTGGAGTCGCTGTTGCTCCGCATCATTACCCTTAGCGTTACCACTACCATTTCCATTACCATTACCACTACCATTACCATTGCCACTACCACTACAACTACCACTACCACTACCATTACCTTTACCATTCCCATTCCCATTACCATTACCATTACCATTACCATTGCCATTGCCAGTACCAGTACAGCTGCCATTGCCAGTCCATGCCCATTCCCATTCCCATTCCCAATTCCATTACCATTACCATTACCCTTACCATTACCATTACCATTACCATTGCCATTGCCATTGCCATTGTCACTACCATTACCATTACCATTACCATTACCATTACCATTACCATTACCTTTACCTTTACCTCTACCTTTACCCTTATCCTTACAATTCCCATTTCCGTTACCGCTACCACTACCATTTCCATTCCCATTCCCGTTCCCGTTCCCATTCCCATTCACATTGCCACTACCATTACCACTACATTTAAATTTACCTTTACCTTTACCTTTACTTTTACCACTACCATTACCATTACCATTACCATTACCATTACCATTACCATTACCATTACCATGGCCATTACAATTGCCATTGCCATTGCATTACCATTACCATTACCGTTGCCATTGCCATTGTATTGCCATTGCCAGTCGCTACCCCGTTACCATTACCATTACAATTACCGTTACCATTACCATTACCACTACCAGTACCATTACCATTACCACTGTCATTACCGTTGCCATTGCCATTGCCATTAGCCACTACCATTACCATTGCCATTACAATTAGCATTACCAGTACCAATACCATTGCCATTACCATTACCATTACCGCTGCTATTACCATTACAATTCCCATTCCCATTCCCATTCCCATCAACATTGCCATTACCATTACCGTTACCAGTACCATTACCATTACCATTTCCATTCCCGTTCCCGTTCCCATTACAATTACACTTCCCATTCCCATTCACATTCCCATTCCCATCCCCATTCCCTTCACATTACCATTCACATTATCATTACCATTACCATTACCATTACCTTTACCATTACCATTACCTTTACAATTACCATTACCATTACCATTACCATTACAATTACCATTACCATTACCATTACAATTGCCATGGCCATGGCCATGGCCATGGCCATTGCCATTGCCATTGCCATTGCCATTGCCATTACCATTACCATTACCATTACCGCTGCCATTGCCATTGCCATTGCCATTGCCAATCGCTACCTCGTTACCATTGCCGTTACCATTACTGTTACCGTTACCGTCACCATTACCATTACCAGTACCATTACCATTACCACTGGCATTACCATTACCATTACCATTGCCGTTGCCATTGCCATTCGCCACTACCATTACCATTGCCAGTACCATTACCATTCCCATTCCAATTTCCATTTCCAATACCATTACCATTACCATGTCCATTACCATTACCACTGCCAGTGCCATTACCATTACCATTACATTTACCTTTACCTTTACCTTTACCCTTACCCTATACCTCTTACCTTACCCTTTACCTTTATGGTAACAGCAATGGCAATGGCAATTGCGATTCCCATTTCCGTTACCACTACCACCACCATTTCCATTCCCGTTGCCGTTCACATTCCCATTCCCATTCCCATCCCCATTCACATTACCATTACCATTACCATTACCCTTACCCTTACCATTACCATTGCCACTGCCATTGCCATGGCCATTACCATTGCCATTGCCATTGCCATTGCCATTGCCATTGCCAATCACATTGTCATTGCCATTGCCAGTGCCATTCCCATTACCGTTGCCATTGTCATTGTCATTGCCATTGCCAGTCGCTACCCCGTTACCATTACCATTACACTTACCGTTACCATTACCTCTGTCATTACCATTACCATTACCATTGCCATTGCCATTAGCCACTACCATTACCAGTGACATTACCATTACCATTACCAGTACCATTGACATGACCATTATCATTACCATTACAATTACCATTACCAGTACCATTACCATAACCACAACCATAGCCATAACCATAACCATAACCATAACCATGACCATAACCATACCCATACCCATACCCATAACCATTACCATTACCATTACCATTACCATTACCATTACCATTACCATTACCATTACCATTACCATTACCATTACCATTACCATTACCATTTCCATTACCGCTGCCATTACCATTACAATTCCCATTCCCATTCCCATTCCCATCATCATTGCCATTACCATTACCATTACCAATACCATCACCATTACCATTGCCATTACCGTTACCACTACCACTACCATTACCAGTTCCGTTCCCGTTCCCGCTCCCATACATATTCCCATTCCCATTTCCATTCCCATTCCCATTATCATTACCATTACTTGCACGATTACCTTTACCTTTACCATTACCATTACCATTACCATTGCCATGGTCATTACCATTGCCATGGTCATTACCATTGTCATTGCCATTCCCATTGCCATTGCCATTGCCATTACCATTACCATTACCGTTGCCATTGCCATTGCCATTGCCATTGCCATTGCCAGTCGCTACCCCATTACCATTACCATTACCATTACCATTACCATTACCAGTACCATTACCATTACCACTGTCATTACCATTGCCATTGCCATTGCCATTGACATTGCCATTGCCATTGCCATTGCCATTCGGGGGTTTCAGTAGGAATCATTCAGTGAAGGGCTTCAGTAGGAATCCACATGTGGAGGAGTTCAGTAGGAATAATTCAGTGGAGGGTTTCGATAGGAATCCTTATGTCGAGGATTTCACTATGAATCCTTATTGCGGGGGCGTTCAATAGGAATCCTTCTAGGGGGAGGGCAGATGAGGCCACGTCGCTTTCATTTGTTTCGCCGCCGACTCCCCCCCCAAAAAAAATTATCCTGGCGAAAGACCCAACCATAAGCAATTGTTGGTAACGCGTTGTGGGTGCCGCTTTCGGTGGGGCTCCATATGGGGCCACGAAGCGCTGCCTTGGATGGGGGAACCGCATGCGGACTGCGCCACCGGGGCGGGCCTTCGGTGGAGCTCCCTATGGGGCTACGAAACGCTGCCCTGGGTGGGGGAACCGCATGCGAACTGCGCCACTGGGGCCTTCGGTGGAGCTCCCTATGGTGCCACGAAACGCTGCCCTGGGCGGGGGAAGCGCATGCGAACTGCGCCACGGGGGCTTTCGGTGGAGCTCCCCATGGGGCCACGAAGCGCTGCCCTGGGTGGGGGAACCGCATGCGAACACCCCCACTGGGGCCTTCGGTGGAGCTCCCTATGGGGCTACGAAACGCTGCCCTGGGTGGGGGAACCGCATGCGAACACCCCCACTGGGGCCTTCGGTGGAGCTCCCTATGGGGCCACGAAACGCTGCCCTGGGTGGGGGAACCGCATGCGAACACCCCCACTGGGGCCTTCGGTGGAGCTCCCTATGGGGCTACGAAACGCTGCCCTGGGTGGGGGAACCGCATGCGAACACCCCCACTGGGGCCTTCGGTGGAGCTCCCTATGGGGCCACGAAACGCTGCCCTGGGTGGGGGAACCGCATGCGAACACCCCCACTGGGGCCTTCGGTGGAGCTCCCTATGGGGCTACGAAACGCTGCCCTGGGTGGGGGAACCGCATGCGAACACCCCCACTGGGGCCTTCGGTGGAGCTCCCTATGGGGCTACGAAACGCTGCCCTGGGTGGGGGAACCGCATGCGAACACCCCCACTGGGGCCTTCGGTGGAGCTCCCTATGGGGCCACGAAACGCTGCCCTGGGTGGGGGAACCGCATGCGAACACCCCCACTGGGGCCTTCGGTGGAGCTCCCTATGGGGCTACGAAACGCTGCCCTGGGTGGGGGAACCGCATGCGAACACCCCCACTGGGGCCTTCGGTGGAGCTCCCTATGGGGCCACGAAACGCTGCCCTGGGTGGGGGAACCGCATGCGAACACCCCCACTGGGGCCTTCGGTGGAGCTCCCTATGGGGCTACGAAACGCTGCCCTGGGTGGGGGAACCGCATGCGAACACCCCCACTGGGGCCTTCGGTGGAGCTCCCTATGGGGCCACGAAACGCTGCCCTGGGTGGGGGAACCGCATGCGAACACCCCCACTGGGGCCTTCGGTGGAGCTCCCTATGGGGCTACGAAACGCTGCCCTGGGTGGGGGAACCGCATGCGAACACCCCCACTGGGGCCTTCGGTGGAGCTCCCTATGGGGCCACGAAACGCTGCCCTGGGTGGGGGAACCGCATGCGAACACCCCCGGAGGAGGGAGGAGGAGAGGAAGGAGGGGAACGCGGGGCACCGTCTCTTCAAAACGAGGACCCAACACCACAGGATGGTTGGGAAAAACTCACAAAAAAAAAAAAAAAAAAAAAAAAAAAAAAAAAAAAAAAAAAAAAAAAAAAAAAAAAAAACGATTTGTTTTTTTTGGGGGGGACACCAGGAGAAAAAAAAAGGCAGAGAGGGAGGAGGAGGAGAAGAAGGAGGAGGAGGATGAGGAGCAGGAGGCGGAGAAGGAGGAGGAGGAGGAGAAGGACGACACAAAGCAGAGTTTGCACAGAAGCAGTCGCTTACTCAGCGCGAAAGCCTCGCGCGCGCGCGCTTTTGAACCCCTGCGACTCCAATCCCCCGTTCTCGCGAGGTGACCCTGCTGGGGCCCACTCCCTCCTCCGCCCCATCCTCCACCCGTCCTGCCCCCTCAACCCCCTCCTCGTGTTCGTTCCCCCTCGGTCTCCCTCCTCCCCCACTGCCCCTCTTGCTCGTCGTCACCGTCTTCGTCCTCCTACACATTCCCCACCCCCTCCTCCGCCGCCACCTCCGTCACCCCTCGCGTTCGTCACCCTCCGCGCCTCACCCGAAGCGACACCTGCCCCCGTTCTTTGTCCTCGCAC